TGCAGGGATCTGCATTGTATAAGCCAAGCCAGTAATTTTAGCAGAGTAGAGGTTTTATGCAGAATTGACTCTCAGCTGCTGTTTTCTATGACCCAAGACCTGTTTTCTTAGCTTTTTGTTTGTTTATGGTGTAAGTAATGATGCTGAAAAAGCAAAAACATTATGTGACTCAAGTAACTCTCTGGCAGACACAAAAATGATGTCTCAACAAAAAGGGAAAGGCCAGTGTCCCCACAACTCTGAGTAGTTCTATAATTCTACAAATGGCTTTTTGTGACATAATAAACCACAAGACCAGGTTTATGTCACTCGAATTTCAGCATGGAATTACCTCTTTAATATACATATCATTTTAGGGGAATTTCATACATAACTTAAAAACAATCACACAAAGAGAAAATGTTTTAGTCTTTTCTTTCTCTCGCTACCTAACCTCAAAAAATTCTCATTAAGGATGTGGTGTCGTAATATACATTCCAAACATTAGTTTCTTATTACCCATTTGCCTGATGTTTATCATATTATTTTCCATTATAATAGTGGATACAAGCTTATCTTAGGGCAGCATGAACTTTTTAAAGTAGATGGTGGTACAGAAGAAAAATGTTTGTTTCTCTCTTTCTTTTTTACACTAGACCTTTTACAAGTATCTTCCACTTGGGCTTCATTTTTTTTTTTTTTTTTTTTTTTTTTGACATTCAAAGGATCAGACAGTCATATGGAATAAATACTATTAGTAATTTCTGACCATGGTGATTGGTTATCTGTGATTGGTATTACCACTGAGTCAGGTCTACGTGAAGTAAGAATGGAAGATAATCATGGCCACGAATAACCCCCTGCCAGGAATGCTCTACAGTGATGCTGTCCTCCTCATTTGGCATAGTTAGGGGAACCATGCTCATTCTCTACCTTTGGAAGCCATTTTAGTAAAAAGCAACTGGGCGAGCAAATAAAAATAAATTAAATTTTTGCCTGTCACTGTGTTAAGTGTCCAGAACTGAATGTGTAATGCTTGGTACTTAGAATCGAAGTGGTTCCTTTTTGGGTAATTTCCTGTACCCGCTGCTGCACCACTGTTGTTTACCATACACAATGGAATACGATGTGGCAATGAGAAAGAATGACATCTGGCCTTTTGTAGCAACGTGGATTGAACTGGAGAGTGTTATGCTAAGTGAAATAAGTTATACGGAGAAAGACAGATACCATATGTTTTCACTCTTATGTGGATCCTGAGAAACTTAACAGAAGACCATGGGCGAGGGGAAGGGAAAAAAAAAAGTTAGAGAGGGAGGGAGCCAAAACATAAGAGACTCTCAAAAACTGAGAATAAACTGAGGGTTGATGGTGAGTAGGAGGGTGGGTGATGGGCATTGAGGAGGGCACCTGTTGGGATGAGCACTGGGTGTTGTATGGAAACCAATTTGACAATACATTTCATATTTAAAAAAATAATAAAAAAATAAATATGAGACATGAGGAGTGGTAATTTGAAGGGATGAATATTCACTTCAATTTTGGGAGGGGAGGATGAGGTGGGGAGTAGAAAACGCCAAGACAGGAAACCGCATAGAGTGTATTTCTTTACAAAAGATGGCTCACGAATAGAAAAATAAAAGATCAAACTATCAAGAGTTCACGAAGGAAATATTGACATGAAATCTTCACAATTATTTGTGAAGAGGGGAGGACAGTCTGATGTTTTCAAAATAACGACTAAGTACAAAGTGCCACAGAATGGGAGTTGCTCTGACACTGGGAGCTGCATCCTGCATTCTGTGTTCTTGCTTTTTTAAAAAAAAAATTTTTTTAATGTTTATTTATTTTTGAGAAAGAGAGACACAGTGTGAGCTGGGGAGGGGCGGAGAGAGAAGGGGACGCAGAATCTGAAGCAGGCTCCAGGCTGTCAGCACAGAGCCTGACGCAGGGCTTGAACTCACAAACCACGAGATCATGATCTGAGCCGAAGTTGGACGCTTAAGCGACTGAGCCACCCAGGCGACCCATCTGTGTTCTTGCTTTTAATGCCCACTTTTATTCCTCTTGCCCTTATGGTATGATGGTTGTTGGGCTGCTGACTTTTGTTTGTGTCTTGTTATTCAAAAGCACCACATCTGGCTGGTCAGTTGACTGTCATTTATGAATAATTACTCAAAATTCAAGGCTTTCTGTTCTGAAAACATCAGCTCCCAGCACCTACCGGCATGGCCCAGACAAGCCCTAACCCATACTCAATGTCTGCCCCCCAAGCAGTCATACTGAACTTTTTAAAAAGTGAGATATTGCATCTTTTAATATTGAATAATGTAAAACACTCAGCCCTCTGACCTGACATCATAATGGCAGCAAAAAAGAAAAAAATCCTATTTTTTATCATTACATAATCTCCTCCTTCAATTGGGGTCATTTCCATGTGACAAGCAGCAATACGATTCTCATCGTTGCTTTAGTGTTTTCCCCCAGAGACTCCTTTCCTTCTCTGGCAGGATATATCCAGTAATATTAATACTCTACCCATTAATGCCAAAATTAAAATTCACTGTTCTTTACCACAGAATGTAGCATCTGTCCTTTTCTCGTTTTCCCCCCACCCCTAAAATTTCCTGGCTATAATGTTTTAATTTTTTTAATGTTTATTTATTTTTGAGAGAGAGAAAGAGACAGAGTGTGAGTGGGTGAGGGGCAGAGAAAGAGGGAGACACAGAATCCAAAGCAGGCTCCAAGATCCAAGCTGTCAGCACAGAGCCCGACATGAGGCTCGAAACCACGAACCGTGAGATCATGACCTGAGTGAAGTTGGACGCTTAACCAACTGAGCCACCCAGGCGCCCCAATAAAGGGTCTCTCATATTCTTTTCATTTATGAAATACAAAACAACCTAAAGCTGAGTAGACCTTGCTGATATTACTTTCCCTCTGTCTCTGTCATTTTTTTTTTTTTTAATTTTAGGTGGAGGGAGAGCAGATTATTTGAACCTTTGCAATGAAATAAATTTTATTTACATGATGGTAATTTTCCATTAAAATGTGGGTTTTTTTTTTAACGTTTATTATTTTCTTTGAGAGAGACAGAGCATGAGCAGAGGAGGCGCAGAGGGAGAGGGAGACACAGAATCCGAAGCAGGCTCCAGGCTCTGAGCTATCGGCATAAAGCCCGACGTGGGGCTCGAACTCATGAACCTTGAGATCATGACCTAAACTGAAGTTGGATGCTTAACTGACTGAGCCACCCAGGCGCCCCTCCATTAAGATGTTTTAAAATCCACCATCCTCTTGTATTCAAGAAACAACCCCTCCATTTTGCACACCAGAAGCAAATCAGCACCAAGAGCATTGTGTGATCTGTTTCAAGTAGGACAATCAGTTGTCTGGTCAAAGCCATAGAGCACAAGCGGAAGGAAGTTCCTGCTCCCACCCGTGGCTTCATTCCAATATATGGAAGTCTGTTGATGGCAATTAATTATCCAGCCAGACATTTACATTTAGGACACACAAGTGCTCAGTTAATATTTACTGAATATTGGCTTGTTTCTTAGGTTGAAATCATAATCGTTCTCAGCCAATTAAAATAGATCAAACACAGAAAAATACCAAAATTGAAAATATGTCCATCTCACTATATCCTGAGGTATTTACTCAGCCAACACTTAACTGAATACCTGCTATCTGCTAAGATCTCTGCTGGGTGGAGAAACCGAAAGGTAATTAGACATCCTCCTTGACATTGAGGAATTCACCAATTAATTACCAAAGGAAAAATTTCATACCACAATGTGATCAGGGATATAATAGAAAAAAGCATCAAGCGCAATAGAAACACAGAAGAAAAAGGCCCTAAAGGGAGAAATCTTCATGAGTTTCCAACTTAAGCTTAAGCCTGAAGGATGAGGAAAATTCCTCCAGGCTCAGATAGGAGAGGGGGTTGGAGATGATAAAGATGTTTTGCAATGACAGACACTACCGGTGCTCAGTAAGTATATATAGGTTGAGTGAATACAAAAAGGGAAGGATTAATTTGGCCGTAGTCAGTGCTGTGCTGGCAAACCCGTTCTCTGGAGGGAAATAAAACCCTGATACATGGCAAATGTCAATTTATGTGGAGTACATGCTCCTCCTATAGGCAATTTCAAACTACCAACATGACATCACTGATCACGCAGAGGGGGAAAGACGCACACGTGGCACTTGCCAGCTAGTATGAGCCAAGTCCAGCCCACTGTTGACTCTAGAGCACTCTATAAGTATTTGTGGAATGAAGGAGCCTGTGAATGGATGAATGAACAAACTATTTGATTCCAGGCCCAGGACTAATATGGTCAAAGGCTCAGAGATTTGAGTATTAAGAAGCTCTGTGAGGTGTATCAGGAGGAGAGGGTGAATGGGAAGTTGAGTTGGATGTAGAATGCAGGTTCAAGGGTATGACTTTTCTCAAAAGGTAGTAGGGCATCATCACAGCTCTTGAAGGGGCAGAGTACCATGACCAGATCTATATTTTAGATGTGCCGTTAGCCATAATTCCCTAAGACCATACTTTGCCTCAAATGTGAATAGTTAAACCCTTACAAAAATTCTAATACGTGGAAGAGCTAAAGCCTTCCTTTTAATGAAACATAAGTGTAAGCAATCCTTCAACAGTCTTACTATACTGTTGGAAATTATTTCTTTATTCAATCAAAAGGAGTCCTAATGAAGGTCGGAGTCAACCAACAGAGGCAAATCAATGTTGAAGCACGGAATACATGTGAACTCAAATGTAAAGACACAAAGCAAAGGAGAAAAATGGCTTATATGGTGTCTGACTGGCTAAGTCACACAGGATACAAGGAAACTGCTTTCAAGGGCTGCCATGACACTCAGCCCTCCTCCTCACCGTGGACTCTGTATGTCTCAGAAATGTGGGCTGGTGCATATACATTGCCCCCAAGCGAATGGCTTTACTTTTTGAGACCAGCAGGTCCTTTTATAAACTGGAAATCTTAACAGTGAATATATCTTACCTAGAGATATTGTCAGGTGAGCAGGCAGAGATGCTGGTCTCCATGCTATCAGAGCTGTCTAGGCTCAAAGTATCAAAGGCCTGGTCCTTATAGCTGTGATCGGGATAGTGGAAACTGTTCAAGTAGACATTTGATTCAGATGCCGTGCGGTTGTAAAATTCAGAAGATTTCTGCCTTTGTCCTTCACTCATCTGTTGGTGATTATACCCTGAGGGAAGAGCCATAAATATGTTAGTATGCCTCATTTTTCAGCCTTAGATCTTCTGAGAGTCAAACCAGCAGCCCAAAACATCTGCCTGTGAAACTTGGGCCTTGGTCTAATTTGTTTCGAAGCCAAGAAGATCAAAGACACAGCATCATGCTCAGTGCAAGCAAGAGTTTCAGAGAAGTGGTCTTGGAAGCGATCTTTCTGGTCAGGGGATCACCTCACATTTCCCTTTGCCATTCCCACATCTCAGCGCAACTGAGAAGAATACATCAGCACACACAAAAACAAAAAAGGGAAAAACAAAAAAAATGGAAACACAGTCAAAGGCCCTGTATCTTCTAAAAATGGCTGGGCTCAAGTGAAGCAAGAGAACTCCCGGTGGCAAGCAACAGCAGGGTCTTAGGGCAGTCACTTGCTCAGCAGTATTCCAGTCTGAGGACTCGATAAGGTCGTAAAACAGCAGGTGGATCATCTAGGCGCAGGATGTAAGAGTCTTGGGTCTCACTCATATTGTCACAAACACTTTTAATCTGGTAAACATCCAAACCGTGTACATTTCTCATTCTTCATTTTTCAATTTCTCTGGTCTGCCAATTATTTAAACACTTTGCAGTGAACGGCCCTCCTAATGGTTGTGCTTTTCCTAATTACTGGAGGCAGAGCTCTCTTCTTCTTCCACCCGAACTGTCAGCCCAAGCTAGTTGGTGGTACCAACCATACAAAACCGTTGCACTTAGATCAACAGCAGCAAAAGTGCCATCAGTAAGAGGCTTCATCTTTACTCTGGTACTTGGTCAGCGGGTGTCTTAGGTATTGGCTTTACTTTGACTTACTGCTATGGCTTGCTCTCTGGTGGGAGCTTTTGGGCAATGCAAACTGAATTGTTTTTCCTTTCAATTCTCTCTTTACCATATATATGTAGGAACCAGGGATCATAATGATCAACCAATCCCTCGATTTATGAAAAAGACATTTCTCTAGCCAGCAGTGGTTTGCGATCTCTTTCTCCCTCATTAAATTTACTACCGGACCTATTAAGCGTTTACAACTCGACCATTTGAATTTCACCTCTTTCCTTGCACTCTACCAACCTTCAGTGAGGCTCTCAATTGGTAATGAAATAGTCAAAAAAAGCAGCCAGAGGGTGAAACAAGGGCAGTGATTCCAAACAGCTTCCTCAGCTATCAGTTGAACATTTCCATTGAAAAGCAGAGCCACAACCAGGAGGGCTTTAGTAAAGCATCATCCACCAAAAGTTTCTGTAAAATGATTTTAGTTCCACAGACAGTTTGCATGCCAAACTATTTGGAGTGGTTTTAGATATCTAAGTGAAAATATGTTAGTTCAGATTATGGCATTTCTGGGAAAATGTTTCCTTAATATAAGCTGTAATTATAAATTACAAATACATATGTAAAAGCGACAGATCACTTAGCCAAGGGAAGATGCAACACAAAAAAAGCACACCATGAGACTTTAGATAGAATATCATTATTCGTAATGATTAATGCAGAAAGCATGAAATGAAGCCAGTACGTTTATAAGCGTGGAGTTTGTGCCTTTAAAAAAAAATTATTACTCAAATATTTACCTTTGATACTTGAACTTTTGGAATTACTAATTGCTCCTTTTAAATTGTTTCCAGTTATTCATTATGAAAAGGAGGGGGACAAAAAAAAACACCAGAAATTATTTGAAAAAGTCACACACGTATCTTTCCTTATGCTTTCAAAAAAGGCTTGTTGGCAAAGAAAACTTCTGCACTGGCACTGAGTACGTGGAAGCCGTTTCCCTGTTAGTATGAAAAACAAATCCCTAAAAGACAGCCATGTAATTTAAAACATATGAGACTTATCTCCTTGGCAATGACATGTGCCACAACTTCCTCTTCCCCTTCGGTTTTTCATAATGAGGAAAGGCCAATCCCTATAATGCAACTAACACCTTCTTGGAAAAGCAGAGAAGATGGCGAGTATATTTCTTCTTAAAGCCACTTTGTGTCCTGATCCTCAGATCTCCCATGATTTTTTTCCCCCAAAAGTATCACAAAATAAGAACATGAATTTACAACCTTCAGGTGAGATAGATAGTACACTAAAACGATTCAAACTGTTCAGATATGGGCACAAGGGACAGCTGTGTCACAATGTGTACTGTGCTAAGGATTGTGAACATCATAAATACCCCAGATCACCTCAATACCTGTGGAGGTTCGGCTCTGTGTCTGTGAGAACTTTCCGCCATTCTGGGGATAGGGTGAGTACCTTAGATTTTCTCTGCAATTTTAGTGAAAGAGCCTTCTGCTAATGAGCATAGGTTTCCCAGGGCAGGATTTTTGTTTCCTGTGGATCCAGCGTGAGTGGAAATGTTTTACCTCATGCAGAGGCCCGTTTCTCCCAACCGGCAACACTTTACTAGTCGCAGTGGGTTAGTCACCTGGATTCAACTGCTCCCTTCTGAACAATTTCAAAAAATTAAGTTACCTCTGCAATCACATATAAGGGCATGGACCTCATCCCTGTGATCCTGGGATTATACCAGTGTGATTCCAAACAGCTGGTGTTGGGATTTGGGCTCTGGCCTGTCCGCTTAAAGGTACAGGTACTTCTGATAGAGGAAACACTTGAGTAGAGCAGCAGACCAGAGGAAACCCTGGTAGAATGTCCAAGAAGAACTGTTCCTGCCATTAGGTAGCCCCAGGACAGGTGCAAGCTTTAACAGGGAGGGGGACACATGTGCCCTGATCACCACAGGATCCTCATTCATTTAGTATAGGGATGTCATGAACTAAAGGGCCACTGAATCAATTCATTTTCTCATCTGTAAATTCCAGCTTTATAGTGGCTAAATAAGGAAGTGGAATGCATCTACTGTCTGGGATGGGGTAGAATAAGTGCGTTGGGAAAAATGAGACTTTCCCAATATTTGAGACTACTCATTTTTTTTTGTTTGTTTGTTTTTAAATTATGTAGCAAGAGTAGCATTCAGCAGTGGGACAGTAACTGAAAAGCAAAAAGGGCCTTGTAAATGCTCTAAATTCTTTCTATCCAGACAGAAATAGCCATTTTAGGGAATGTTTATAAGGTTTATAAAGTAAGACCTGATGATATCTGAGGTTCATCTGATATCTAAGCATAGCACATGCAAAGAACCCAAACCAACTCAACTGTCTTCACTGTCTCAGAGAGCCAGTAGAATAGATGTGCAAAGCCCATTTATTATTATTATTAATTATTATTATTTTTTATTTTTACTTATTATTACTTTTTTACTTTATTATTTTTTTTTTATTATTGCCTATCCATGAATTCTGGCCAGTTAGACCTGGAAAGTCCTTTGTGAGTTAACCATTGTAAGACATATAGTCTTGCCAATATCTTCCCAGTGTGTGTTGTATATTTTCAATGGTTATCTGGGCTTAGTATAGAAAATGAGATGACTTAAAACTATAACCTGGGTTTAAGAGGATAAAATTAATATGTATTTCTGACAAGTTAGCCTATCATAGCTCACCTGCTGAGAAATTCATTCTTCCTAACCATAGTCCACAGCCGGGAGATGAAGGTACAGGACGAGTCAGGGATGAAGGAGAATGATGGAGAAAGGGAGAAAGAGACAAGATCAAAAAAGGATGACAGGGGACAGGAAAAATATACAACACTTCCAACATGCAGTCATTGACAGTGTTAATAACAACACCAGATCAACAAGGCAAGATGTTTTCACATTTCTAGGTTAAATCTGAGTGTACAGAGAAGGACTTGAGAAGTCAAAAAATAGCAAGCTCACAAGACATACATACAGTTAGTGAAAAAAAAAATGGAAACTAACAGCTTTCACACATACTTGCCGACCAGAAAACAGGGAGAATAAAAACAAGATCATAATGATAAGACAATTCTTTTTCTCAAGCAGACAGCAACGAATAGTTTTTAAGAGCTAGGGTTTACAAAATTGCCATTCAGTTATTTGAAGCACCGTCCGTCACACTTTATAAGCATTCCGTCCTCTGACATCCTGCATCTCTATGAGTAGCCACAGTAATGAGCCTCATATTTATTCAAACCAGTCATTTAAACTGGTCTTCACTCACCATGAGGTCTTACTTCTAAAATAGACTTAAACAGAGTCAGTAAGCAGGAGCATCCTGAATCCTTCCCTCCTCCCATGTATGTATAAATAAGACTCCTCCCAGTCTTATTTATGCCTGGCCTTTGGAAAGGAGGGACATCATGTTTTACCCTTAGCCTATACACATGCCAGTGCCTACTCTTATCTCCATCTCGATTCTGAGTCTCACAATACAATGCTTGTGTGTGACCAGCAGCTGCACTCCTGTTGCATTTCTAGCAACTGTGCAACAATTTTCCCCCACTGTGTGAAAGGAACGATCATTAGACTAAAAATCCACTATTTTACAGTTCCAAGTGTGATCATTTCTTAAAGATGACTCCACAATGACCTTTCACTAATTTGCTGGCAACAAAAACACCACACAAGGAGGTTGTCCTACCTTTCTTGGACTTCCCTGCATTTAACAGAAGACAAAAGGACAAAGATTTCATTCATTCTAAAGCTTACAAAGGACCAGTTCACAAGTTGTATAAAAGCCAATAACCATTACAACTTTAAGATTTGAGTTCCTGGGCTCTTTGCTCTAAACTCAGTTCTCAAAGATCTTTGTTCGCCTGGCTCACGTTGTCAGTTTTATGAAAACAGTGCTGATCGAAGGAAGGCTTATACTTACACCATTGTCCTGATGTATCCATTATGAATAAGCAGCAAAAAAACACAGTTCATTTAAGTTAATTATGTAAGTTCCCCCCCCCCCCATGATAAAATCTATTAAATTTGAGTAATGAAAACGTGTTAGGTGCAATTTGTTCAAAACCATGGAATTTTACTTGTTTGCTATTTTAGTGAAGGCAACAAGGTACCAGTAAAGCAATTCTAAATGAAATAATGATTCATCCCTCCTGGTCTGTGTGGGCCACCTGGATGGGCTTCGTGGAAAATCCTGTCAATTTTATGCTCCAGTGTGGCTCTAAGAACTGCAGTCCCTGTCCCTCCTCCTCTGGCTTCATAAGACACATCACGTCCGCTTTGATCAACACATACAAGATGGTTCTCTACTTCCTCAGAGGCTCTCTCATCAGCACCACATGAAACTCTTCAAGAAGAACCCCACTTTAGAGCTGCAGCAGGAAAGAATGAAGCTGCCATCTTCCCAGATGCTCCAAAGTGAAGGGCATTGATGAAGAACCAGGGCAGAAAGATAGGTCAAAGTCAATGGATTTTGCAGAGTACGTCCTAATGTGACCTCAGGGAATTGGGTCAGTTTTCCTCTAGGAACCTAGCATGGGGATTTCCATCATTTGATGGGCAAAGTGAGATCAGAAAACGAAAGATCAAACATCCTTTGGTTTCACCACATTCTCTTAAGAATCCTCTTACATAATAATGTTAATAGCTCTTGAATTTACAAATCTCTCCATTTAGTATAAAGGTCTAGTTTTTCTTATTCTTTAAGAAAAAGACTTTTCACATAAAATAGGGCATTGTGGCCAATCCAAGCTTTGATGTCTTCAGCCAGTGGGAAAAATACGTTTAAAAAGTCTATAAATACCACAGGAAAATGCTTTCACAGAAAACAGACTTGACCCACAAGTGAACAATGAGGAATGACAGCCAGAATATCAAGACTCATTTATGTTTATTATTTATAAATCATAAGAGATATTTTAGCTTATTAAGAAATTATAGTAAAGAAAATAAGAGAAGCTTAATCAATTGCATTCGACTCACATGGTAACACTGTAAACCTTTCATGAGTTATTAACCTCTCTTATGAATACTACAGACTCTATTAACTCTTAAATCACTTCTAGTCATGATTCAAAAACCTCATCCAAGTGATATACTATATATATTACACACATACACACATTTTATATATACTGAAATTCATATATATATACATTTCTTTTTTTAATGCTTATTTATTTTGACAGAGAGTGGGTGCAGGGGAGGGGCAGAGGGAAGGGGAGAGAGAATCCCAAATAGGCTCCACACTTTCAGCGCAGAGCCCAACATGGGGCTTGACCTCATGAACTGTGAAATCATGGCCTGAGCTAAAATCAAGAGTAAGATGTTTAACTGACTGAGCCACCCAGGCACCCCGATTTATATATATTTCTTTTCTTTTATATTCTTTTTTTTTTTTTTGGCAGGAAACCAGTGATTATCCCCTGGTACCACCGGCAGAAGGGCTGAACAGTCAGAACTGAATCCTGGCCTGCTTGGAGGGAAGCGTTCCAATCTCACAAATGCATGAATGCCCACCACTCTGTCAGCATCCCCCTTTATATCCTGGGTATTCCTCCATCACTGCATTTACCATATTTTATTTAAATCCTCTGTTATGTGTCTTTCTTCCTCACTGGACTACAAGCATGTCAGGGCTGTGTCATTCATTTGTGTTCTTGGTCTCTGGCACCATGCCTGCTCAAAAGTTAGGGTCAAGATAGGCTACTGACCTAGATGACTGTTAACACACATCTAATCCTCTCAAGGAGAAGCTCACCTCTGGAACTGTATTACTGTAATTTCTCCTAGCCCCACAAAGACTATTTGACAACCTCATTATAAATGCAATCTATTATCACAAAGAAGTAAAAGATGCTGAGAATCAAAGTCTACCTGAAACCTAACAATCACATAGAATAAAAGCTCAAACCACACTAAAAGGCCCTAGGGACTTCTGTCCAGGGCCACTAGTGTTCTATTTACTGTGCCAGCTCAGTGACTCTTGAGCATATGTTTCAACAGTGTGGCTTAGCCACAGACCAGGTAAGTGGCTTGGTTAAGTGCCCTGGTGATCTCTCTGGATTTCAGTGGTGTCTCTTTTCTTTCTACCAAATGGGAAGGGTAGTAATGCTGTAGGGGCCTTCCTGTTTTAAGAATTCTATTGAATTTATAAAGTACAGTGGGTATATTTAAAAGGTACCAGCCATGTGTATAATAGAAAAAGTTACTTTAGTACAACAATAAGGAGATATACATCCTTCCCCCAAGAAGATTCATTAAGAATGAAACTGAGGGGGCACCTGGGTGGCTCAGTTGGTTAAGCATCCAACTTCAGATCAGGTCATGATCTCATGGTTTGTTGAGTTGGAACCCCGTGGTAGGCTCTGTGCTGACAGCTCAGAGCCTGAAGCCTGCTTAGGATTCTGTCTCTCCTCTCTCTGCCCCTCCCCCACCTGTGCTCTGTCTCTCTCTATCAAAAATAAATAAATGTAAAACAAAATTAAAAAAAAAAAAGAATGAAACTGAGGATCTGACCTCCTCTCGAATCGATCCCCAACCCTGTTTTTGCTCTCTCTCCCTGAGAAATTCTGATGCGTAACAAAAGCCATGATGTCTGATTCAAAACGTGCTTACCTCTGAGCATCCTCCGAGATTCTGAGTCTTTGGTCATGGTTGCCAGGGAGTGAGGCAGCACGCTGCCACAGCTGTTGCTCTGTCCCAGGGGCAGGTGGGCCTGTGAGAACCGGGGGGAAATACTTCAGGTGAACCGCAGGCCAAATGGTCCTTTGGGACATGGCCTCATCCCTGTTTCCACAGCTCCAATGCAAGCGCAGAGGGCAGGGAAAGTAGGGAGGAGGAACGAATGCGTCCCATTTATTCACACTCAATGGCCAAGGCCAGTCACCGACCCTTCCAAGGAGCTCCATGGCAGGCTCGACACCACAGTAATTTCTCCAGTGGCAGCAATTCCAAAAATGAAGACAGATGGGGAAACACTGTCCAAAACCGCCTTAGAGAACAACTCAAAGTTCTTCATGCATAAGGAGCCGAGGGCAGATGCAGGGACAAGAATGCATGCATATCATGCACAAAGAAGAGAAGATCTACACTCGTTATAAGTGCACCCATTTCCGTCTCCCCGTGGCGACTGGAGAAACCTATCAACTACCCCAGCGGGTTTAGCACTCTTTCAAAATAGAAAATCCTTAGGGTAAAAAAAATACACTCGGAACACCAGTTCATAAAATAGATTCAAACCGAGTTACTTTGATTAAGGGTAAGGGAAGGGTCCAAAAGCCTGGCCCACTCGGAACCTCCTTCTCATCTGCCTCTCCCCCTCTTTCTGCAGTGACCCTCTGGATGTGTCAGCAAAACATGAGTGAGGACTCAAGTGTGACACCTGAGTGTGGGTTCGTAGTCCAGCTTCACTGCTAACCAGCTGAGGGCACTCCGCTTCTTCATCCCTCGGTCTGTCCATAAGTACGATGCAGAAAAGGAGTACCTCTACTGAATAGTGCTGCTGGATATTCAAATGAGGCAATCCACGTAAAGGGTTTATTCCAGGGTCGGGCATATAGAAATGACTCTCAATACATACTTGTTGCTATTATTCCTGGAATCCAGAGCGTCTATCCTCCAATTTCTAGATCTAGGAGGCAGTCATTGGAATCTGTCACCTAAGCGAACGCTACCCACCACTTGTGTGGTGGTGGAAAAAAAACCCTGGACCGGGGTCCTTAGGTCCCGGAGGGTACAATTCCAAGTGTCTCCTGAATCGGATCGAAAATGCAATACAGTTATATGTCTGCCCAACAAGCAAACTTAGTGGTTTATTATTCAGCATTTTCTTTAAGAGCCTTTGCACATTGGTCAATGCTAGGACAAGAAGACTCACTGATGTGAAGCCCGTGGTTCACCCCACGTCCTACCTTTGGGGTGGTGCTTCTCCCCATAGTAGCACTGCTGAAATGTGGGGATATGGAAGGTGTGGTTTTCTTTCGAGGCAAAGTGTCACTCAGATAGAGGCCTTCTTTATGCTGTTTTTTCCTTTCTTCCAGACTTCTAAAATGCTTTAAATGCAAATGTAAAGCAGAATAGCAAAACTTGACTAATTGGAACAGGTCACTGAAGAAATTAAGAAGTATGCATTCACAAAGAAGTTTTGGAATTTTAACACAGAATTAAAAAAAAATTCAGCTTATACTTGTGTTCACTAACAGACTAGGGCTAACATTCGGTAAGATACATAGACACCGGAAGAATTTATTATTGGACCTAGAAACTTAAAAAAAAAAATCCACCTTTCACTTTCATAGATAGTGCCTGCTGCCTTGGGGCCTCAGGACAACTTACAAATTATTATGATGGCCGCCATGTGGATGGCGGAACAGCCAGTGGACAAAGCAAGTAAGCAGTTTCTCCCCTTGTCTGTCTGGACAGTTCTGTGTGCTGGCACAGATCCCAGTGTGAGGAGAACAAGGAAAGGGAGAAGGAAGAAGATGGAGAGAAAGAGCGAGTAAACAGGGAAGTTGTTTTAAAGTCGGAATATTTTAATTACATATAAACACTCCAAATCCATATAACGTTTCCATATAAGACACCCGACTAGGTTACTCTTTTATTTTAAAAAAGGATCTTGGTCAAGAAATCCCTGTAGTAGTTCCTCACATTTAAAAATCCTCCTGTTGACTATTTCTTTATTTTTTTTAGTATATATTCCTAAGGCAAAATTTTTGCTAACTTGAAATGTATCCAAATTTTTCTTAGCCTCCCCCAAAAGGTCTTACTTAGCAGTAAAGTTAATTCTTAATTAAAGGCTCTTAGGGTTTGATCATATTTAGACTAAGCTCAAGCTTTTGAAACACATAAAAATGAATGCAATTTGAGTTACCACATTTATGATTAATCTTCAAAGATGCCAATCATGAAAAATATCTACATTTTAACCTCATAATTATCTCTTTATTCTAGTTTTTATTAACCTAAAACTAGTGAGGGGATATAGTCCTTGAACAAAAGGTAAAAGGCAGTAAAGGTAACTTCAAGAAAAGTAACAGCTGGGGGCGCCTGGGTGGCTCAGTCAGTTAAACGTCCAACTTCGGCTCAGGTCATGATCTCGTGGTTTGTGAGTTCGAGCCCCGCGTCGGGCTCTGTGCTGACAGCTCAGAGCCTGGAGCCTGTTTCAGACTCTGTGTCTCCCTCTCTCTCTGCCCCTGCCCTGCTCACACTTTGTCTCTCTCTCTCTCTCTCAAAAATAAATAAGCATTAAAAAAAAAGAAAGAAAAGTAACAGCTGGGCATAGCAAACCACAGCCCCTCTAATTTGGGGATCTAGTGACTATGATTCCTTAGCATCTTCTGGGCCAAACTCATATAGAAATTTGATTGTAGTTGAAAGGAACCTCAAAACAGATTTTTTTTGAACACCCAAGCATGAATATGCACTAATGTGCTTGAAGAAGGGTGACATTCATAATAATGAATTCCTTATTTAAAAATGTGATTCATAAAAATCTTCTATGACCCAAATGTCTTTTTTGTGGTGTGACGTTAGACAAGCTATTTACCTCAGGCAATAAGGAATTAATTCTTATTTCACAGGATTAGTAGAAGCAAGAAATGAGATATTTATTTGTAAAATGTTCAGCAAATTTTGACACATGGCAAGGGCATGATGTCTATTATTATGACTTCAGTAATGTGTAAGAAAACTATTTTGTGTTGACCCAGCAACTTTTTATACCATGGGTTTAATGGAAAAATTATTATCCTTTTGAAAAATACCTGAGATAAGTTGCAGTATTTTGGTTGAATAGGAACTGAAGTCTGAGGATATGAAACATACCTAGCTTGAACATATCAAAAGTCAGGAGAAGGCGATCAAGTTGTTGAAGTTTAGAACAATCCCCCACACCCTTAAAAAATACTAAATGGCCTTAAAAAAAAAAAAAAACAAAAAAACAAAATCCAACCAAACAAAAGAAAACCCAGCAAAGGAATATGTACTTGTCTTTTTAAGGATACCTTTGGAAAAGCTGATGGAAAGATTCCACGTAAGTAACCTTGTTGTCAAGGTCAAGCTCTCAAACTCTGAACACCAGTGTCAAGTTACCTGTTGTTCCTGCTGCTGTGGCTGCCTTCTGTGTTTCTTAGCTGGTAGAGGAGGAGGTGTGTCATTTAAAGGGAAAGGATCGACAGATGGAGCCAGGACTTCGGGCCAAGGGGCTGATGGAGGTTGAGTGATAGGATGAGGAGAAAGGGTGGAAGGAAACATAAATCCAGAACAGACAGGTGATCTTTGCTTTATAGGAGAAAGAAAAAGTATACATGTGTCCATATGAAATGAAAGAATTAGACAAAGAAATGAAATCGATAATCTCATTATTCTGTTCTCTTGTGTTTTAATCAAAAGTCACAGATGACGGGCAGTATCTTTCAATTTAGTCTCTTGTTAAAATCCCACTCTGCGAGCAACCTGGATCAGTTAGAAGGTATTTTAATTTACTGTTATTTGCCCCTCCCCAGATGTTTTTAGAAGGCGTAATATTAAAAAAAAATCCATACTGCACAACACAACAGAAAAAAAAATCAAACTGGAAAAGCGATTCAAACTAACAATTTTAGGAAGGCTTTTTGTTTTCTATGAAAAGGGTGTCCGGTTAGAGTGCTACGATCTAGAGTTTATGGTTTTGAACTTAATTCTCCTACTACTCCACTCTGTACCATCCATCTCATGATTTCTAGTATCATGGCTGACAGAACAGGACCCCAAATTGGTACATTTTTCAAACCCGGCATCACTCCGGCCCGCTGGTCAACCAGATGTATACTGGTCACACACACCTTCCCTTTCAGGTAATCATGGGTTAATCTTTGACATGAGGAAAGCAGTGAATGAATGAAATGTCATGCCAACACACCTCTTTATTTTGTGGCTGGCTCACCGGCACAGCTGTGGGAGGCCCAGTGGCAACAGCATCAGCATCAGCAGGGAACTGAGAGGAAGGGGATAGATTCGTGGAATTGACACATGGCTCATTAATTTCATTTACACTGATATAGCCCTAAAAGGAGGAATTCAGAAGTTAAACACAAAGAAAGCAAAAGCTGAGGCATGCGAGAGTATTAATGCTCCCAGTACAATGGAGTTAGCTTTGAGCGGCACAGCCAAATATCTGTGGTATTACCAAATGTTTCATTAAGGGAATCATCAGCCATTAAAATGGATTTACGACGCTTAATCTTGAAAACTGATACGCCAAACACTACAAATACGTTTTTGGGAGGTGAAATCAGGATGATTATATTATAAATAACCCGTGCCTTCGATTTCAGAATATCCAGAGGTATCAACCATTCATTCTGTTGACTGAATGAGGGCGTCACTATACAACATTTAAAATAATCACATACACGAAAATCTGAGATATAAAATTTACAGTGCAATCACTCATACTTCAAGAGCTTTTCCCACAAATCATTATTTTTAGATTTTCCCCTTTTCTTCTGTTTCCCGATGAGTTAGAGTGTGAGTAACAGTAGGCTGAGGGCTTCTGGGTTTTGTATGAAGACATTTTATAAGCAGTCATTTATTTGTAATGGAATCTAGCTTTCAGGCATCTCACCTAAATGAGAATAAAAGGGATACTCATCCGCTCATGAGCCTTCCCTAGCAAGACAAATGTGTACACACACACACACACACATCACACACACACACACACACACACACACACACACACACACACACCCTCAGGTGGAGTTGTAGCTCGAGGCTATTTCAATTCCAGGTAGCTTCCCCAACTCTCAGCTCTACCCCAGGACAGAGAATTGCTCATTGACTTTTAAGTTCAGCGATTCAGTTCCAGCTTCAGGTTAGAGAACATGTCTGTGAATCAAAACCTGCAAGAATCAAAACTCCTCCATTTATATTTGAGGAAAAGGCACTTATAAATTTTCATCCAAAATAACTGTACCAACCAATCATGATTTTCACCACACCAACAAAACAGTTGGAAAAAATAGAATAAAGAATACAGAATAGTATTTCTCTTTTAAAAGTAAAATTGAGTGAAATTTAACACTTGGGCTCTTCTATTAGCCCATCAATCCTTTAAAAAAGTGGCTCCAGGGGGGCACCTGGCTGGCTCAGTGGGTTAAATGCTGGACTTCAGCTCAGGTCATGATCTCAGCGGTTCATGGGTTCAAACCTCGCATCGGGCTCTATGCTGGCAGCTCAGAGCCTGGAGCCTGCTTTAGATTCTGTGTCTCCCTCTCTCTCTGCCCCTCCCCTGCTCCCACTCTCTCTCTCTCTCAAAAATAAACAAATATTTAAAAAAAATTTTAAAAGAAAAAGTGGCTCCAGGATAGGTAAGATATCATTATGCTGGGGAAGCAAACTTTTCAGGCTGGAAAGCAAGGTTTTACTGAGAACTTATAATTACAACAATTCGAGAAAGCTAAAGTTGACTCTTTTATAAAATTGTAGTTTTAAAAATGCTGCTGAGGACAGTCTTGCACTTCATGGCAATATATACCATGTAAAGTTTCATAAGATTAAATCGAAGAAAGGAAGTTGACAACTGGGTTGTTAAATTTCATTTTCTATTTGATAATGAATGAGGGTGAAGAGTCACCACTTTAAATTATTCTTTTGCTCAGTTGACAGTGCAGTGCTTCAAAACCAACATTTCATTCTTCGCACGTCATAAACCATATGACCTAATTCATTGCTTCGAAAATGTATGCCATTCATCAAAAGTGGGACTTGTTTAAAAGAGTTGTATATAAATTAATCACTCTGTAAAAAAATAGAGAGAGTGAAGCAGTGAATGAGAGAGAGAGAGAGAGAGAGAGGGGAAGAAAGGAAGAAATTCAAAACATCCCATGAGCTAAGTCAGCTTAGTCCATGAAAGGGAACATAGCTACTCAACAAACACAAGCGTTGGAGACATACAAAGAGTCAAAAAGCCAAGTGGGCTTTTGGCAACAGGGAGTCTTCAGAGAAAAAGAATCCATCAACAGAAAAGGAAAGATTTTATTATTATACTAAGAGGTAAAAAGATCCAAGAGCCTAATTCATTTGGATGCCACAGTGCCTCAAACTCAGTATGTCCAGAATCAAATTGCACATCTTCCCTCTTAACCTACGCTTTCTCCTGTCTTCACTACCTCAGGAAAAGGTCCTCACTATCAGGCTCATTATTCAAACTGGAAAAATGGCATCATTCCCAACACCTCCCTTCATTTACTTCATCCTCACATCCAATCTATCAGCAAGAACTGTCAACTCTGCTCCAAAATTTATCCACATCGAGCTAATTCTCTCCCTCTCTCTGCCATGGTGTGAAGGCAAGCCACCAGCATTTCCAGCCTGTACCACTGCAATAACCTCCTTCCTTGGTTCCTCTGTTTCTCCTCCTACTCCTTAGAACCCAGAAGAGCAGCCCAGAGTGACATTTAACAAGTGGACATTGAACAATGTCATTTCCCTGCTTAAAACCACTCACTCCGTGATAACCCAGACATGTATGATACGCCATATTTCTTTAACATGTCTCATAAGGCCTGGTCCCTACCCACCTCACTGACATTCTCTCCTTCCACCATACTCCAACCACTATTACCCTTTGTTCACGGAATCTGCCAGTTCTGTGTTCTGAATAATAGAGAGGAACTACAAAACTAAATGAGCTAATAAAGCTCTTGTGTAAATAGTTCAAATTGCTTCCGAGGTACACATTATTCATACTTATTGTGTGATGAACATTTACTTCATATACCTACACACACACACACACACACACACACACACACACGTGCACGCGCGCGCACACACACACACACACACACACACACACTACTCCCTATATAGGAAGTCTTAACTCTGCTGCCTTTTAAACAGATACTTATAAATAAAGTGGGGTTTTTTGTTATTACACAAATGTTTATTCTGTTATTACACAGAAGCAAGCTTTTTCTTTAGCTTTCTGGAAAAAATAAAAATAAATAAAACTATTTTGTATTGGAACAATGATAGCTCCCCTTGTGGTGAACATAGCATAATATATAAACTTGCTGAATCACTGTGTTGTGCACCTGAAATTAATGCAACATGGTGTGTCAACCATGCTAAAGAAATAATGACTATTTTCTTTTTCAGTCAGGGTTATAACCAAATTAGAGTTAAAATATTCTCGCATTGTAGCGGTGTAGCTCCATAAGAAGATATTTCAAAGGTGGATGTTTGGAATAAAGAGTGTATATAGCTTAATGTAAATAGTATTTTCTAATTTAAGGAGGGAAGTAGCAGAAACATCATTGGGGGAAAAAAGAGACAGAGAAAGGAAGAAACCAGACCATCTTATCAAATGTGCAGAGGCATTTTCACATGCTATCAGACTTAGGAGAAAGAGACATAAAGTAAGAAAGAGGAGGAACCAAAAAAGAAAATTGCAGAGAAGAGAATTTAAGACTAGTATTGGTTTGAATCCCAACTTGTTTGAAACTCCAAATTAACCCACAATGTCACTGTCAAACAGTCTACACACACACACACACACACACACACACACACACACACACACACCGAGTGCATCTGCATTAGACACAAAGATAATCCCTGAAATCTTCAAAGCATAAATAAAAGGCAGGGAAACCATAAAAGCATTGAATGCTTTCTAAGTCACTTAAGTGAACGTTTTCCTATTTAGCTGATCACATAAAACTGGGGCACATCTCTTGATTTCCAAGGTGATACGAATGGACATGTAAAATCATAGCTTACCTCTTTTAGAGTACTGGGGTTGACAGGAAACCCTTTCCCCCCAGTGAGGCTGGAGTATTTCTTTTCCAGATTACAAAGATTTTCTTTTTCCTGAAGGAACACAAAATCTATTAAGCTTAGTCAATCTTAGATTTCCCTGGTGACTAATGATAGCAAGTATTTTTTCATGTGACTTATTGTCTCTTCGTATATCTTTTTTTTTTTTTGTGAAGTGTTTGTATTCAGTTCTTTTGCCTGTTTTTTTTTTTTTAATTATTTATTGAGTGTTTGTTGGCCATTAATGAGTTATAGGAGTTTTTGTTATTTTCTGGGTATAAGTCCTTTGTCATTCTCTCTTTAAAAAACCTTTGCTTATCCCAAGGCCAGGGAAGTGCACTTGCAGTCCTACATTTTCTTCTAGAAACTTTATCACTTTAATTTTTATGTTGAGGGCTACAATCTGCCTTGAGTTAATTTACATGCATAGTGTGAGGACAGACGTATTAGCGCTCCTTTTTTCCCCATGTTTACCCACTTGATCCAGCACTATTTGTTGGAAAGATTTTCTTTTCCCCACTGGATTAATTGTCTTGGAACCCTCTGTCAAAAAATCAATAGGCAGTATATGTGTGGGTCTATTTCTGGGCTTTCTGTTTGGTTCCATTGATCTGCATGTCTGGCTGTGTGTCAGCACCACATCATTTTAAATACTATATAGCTTTAGAGGCAACCTTGAAATCAAATAGTATAAATCCTCCAACTTGGTTCTTGTTCAAAGCTATTCTGGTTATTTTATGCCCTTGGCATTTTCATACAGAGTTGATTCTTATTACTTGTAATTCTTATGTTCTGTAACATTGCCGTGAACACTGCATTAGTAAATACTGAATTGTTGTTCCTATGGAAAAGACAGAGTTGGGTTACTGTGGGCTTCTGGTCGAAATCATTTCATCAACTGATCAATACATAATTTTGCTTTCTGGGTGTTCATGTTCAAAGGCATCTTATTTAAGATATATTGCTGATTACTAAACACTGAACTCACATCTAACAGCACTATAATTCATGCTTGAATAAAGCTCTTTTAACACATGCATTTTTTCCATAAGGCACATCATAAACTTCCTGCCCTTAGGAACAGTAGACAGTACATTAGCACTATGCTCGGGAGGTAATTTAAACAGCAAAATCATCAATGAAAAGCACAAAAAATGTGAAAACATAGCACGAAATAGCCCACAAAAAGGACACATCTCTTTACTCTATGACACTTGGAGCACAAAGGCAGAGTGTTGCTTCGTTCAACCTCAGTTGGGACGGTGTATGCTGAGTGATTACAAATTGCCACCGTTCTGCACATGTCCATCAATGAACCATAAGACAAGTATTGATTTGGGGCCTACAAATAGATCTTAGTGAGCCAGCAAATTCACAAATATAAACTTCATAAATAATGCAGATCAATTGTAAATTTTAGCATCAACTTGTGTCAATTTCTATAAAAAGAGTCTGTTGGGATTTTGATCGAGATTGAGATATATCTAGGGACACCTGGGTGGCTCAGTTGGTTGAGCATCTGACTTCATTTCAGGTCATGATCTCATGGTTCATAGGTTCAAGCTCTGCATCGGGCTCTGTGCTGACAGCTCAGAGTCTGGAGCCTGCTTTGGATTCTGTGTCTCCCTCTCTCTCTGTCCCTCCCTGACTCATGCTTTTTCCCCCCATCAAAATAAATAAACATTAAAAGCTTTTTTATAAAGATTGAGATATATCTATAGATCAATTTGGGAAAACATAAACCATAACCTTTAGACCACAATTTTTAGAATAGAATTATACTTTATATATTTTAATGAGAAAGTGGCATTTCTATGATTGTGATTACCCATTTAAAAAATCTATCTCTTATGAGACTTTCCCCCCATTTTTCCCAAAGGTTCAGAAACCACTTAAATACTACATATTACACTATCTAATTTAAGCTGTGCCTTTGACTATCACATGCAAAGGGTGATGGGGAGGTTAGTGGAACCAGAGTTCATCCCCAGAACAGGAGACAGGGATGGAAAATATACATCCATTCAGAGATTTCCAGGTGCTGAAGAAGCAGGAGGAGGGGAGCTATCAGGGATCTGTGTGGGCTACATAGGCACCTTGAGTGAACTCATAATTCTATGTGAAGGACCATTTTTCTCTCTCTTTTCAACCTAAAAATAGCTGAGTAGCTAAGATGAAAATAGTGCAGCTACATTTCTTCTAGGTGGGACCACGGTACAGCCTCATCCTTTAATCCATCATTCTTTCTCCTGTACCCCATTCTGGGTCCATCTCATGTTTTCAGGATCACCTCCTAGGTAGTGGCCTGGATACAAGGCTCAGTCCTGAGACTAGCCCCATTAACTTTACCTCTCAGCGTCTTAGACCTAACATTAGGCCAGGGACTATGTCAGAAGATCAGGCTGCAGGTTGGGCAAAGGAATCCCTTTAATGCAGCCATTTTAGGTGCTGGGCAGAGGGGAACACACAGTCCCTTTGGAGAGGATGATCTTGTCACCCATGTAGGATGTCTCCCTAGTTAATTAAGCCTAACTAAGCTCAGTGTGGCAATTTGCCACATGCAAATAACTGGAGTTAAAAATACCACAGCAGCGGAGCCAAATATTTGGTAGCGGCCAAAAAGAAAAGAAAAAAAGAAAAAAAAGCAGAATATGTTCTGCCTATTTGATGAAAAATACGATTTAAAAGAGGAAAATCAGAAAATGTACATATTTTCCATAATTTGAATTTTCACACTGGAAAAAGCATGAGGAAAATGTCCTTGCCTATTTTCTGAATTATAGTTAATTATTCACAGATCATCAGCTTATTAATGTGGAGGATTAAATACAAATATATATTACAAAGCTTCTTTAAATTGTAATTCACTATTCACAAGTAAAAGGTACTTGCTCTGAAGGAAGCAACTTTCCCCAAGTTGGCACCTGAGTTTTCTTGCAACCAGAGCTGAAAAGGAAATACTTACTCTTTGCAACATCATTATTAAATTATTCTTTTCTTTTACAAAATGATCTTGTTCTCTCTGAGCCTGCTGAACAATGTGATTGGCTTGCTTTTTCAAGGCAGAAATCTTTTCCTGCAGGGAAAAACATGATCATATGTAGATGCATGTTAGACAATTCAAAAGTTTGCCAGTATGTTCCGGAAAAGGGAGGAAAGTGTTTACAACTGGATCAGCAGCGGCCACATTTTCATTGGTGGTAGCCAGTGATTATCATTACCCAGAGACTGTGAGATAGTTTCTCTGACCTCCCAAGCTCAAGGCTTTTTCTTTACCTGAGGTCAATATAGTCCAAGTGACTTAAAAATCTATTTGAAGAATCCAGAAGTCAACAGGAAATCTTGTTTTAGATTATAAATGAATTTTTGACATCATCTTGGGAGACGCCTTATGGAAAAAATAACAATGGAATTTCTTATTTAAACTGAGAGCTTAAGATGTCAACTTCTTCATCTTCCTTTCCCTGAATTTTATTGGTTTAGTACCGAGCCCTGGGATGTGAGTCTAAATTTTGGAAAAAGAGGTGAATCCTGGGCTGGACATCTGGGTGTGGCCACTGGGTGGGCCAGCAATGTGCATGGCATTCCACGGGGTTATTTCTAATGGTTGTAAGCTACCAGTTAGCTTGACAACTACGAACAATGGCAACAGACAATTCCAAAATAGGCTTTGTTCACAGAGTTAATTCTAAATCCAGTTACTATGATTGCAAAAGCAAGTAACTTAAGACAAATATTTAGATTTCTGATTTTCTCTCCCTTGGTTTCCATGCATGTGAAACAACCGGATATTATTTCTAAATGCATCTGTAGCATTAAGTAATGATAACTAGACCACATGCCAGTTTATCTAGTTTGGAGCACCCCATGGTATATAGATGGCAGGCTCCATACTCTTTCCAGCGTCACATGCGGTTTCACACACAGAGATGTTCAGATATAAAGACTGGTAGACAGAGAGAGAGAGGTGAATTGGATTTTTTACACTGAATGACGCCTGGCTAAAGTACCTTTCTGGTAACAATGTTCCGTTGATATTCGGCTACTTCGCGCAGGAGCTGTTGGGTCAGGTTCTCCTTTTCCTCATCCAGGCGGCTCTCATGTTCAAGCTGCTGGAACTCCAAGTCTTCAAAGTGTTTGCTCTCTACATCCAACAGGTCAGCATCCTGGGGAGAAAACAAAATGAAAACAAGACATACCAGGATGGCTGCAGCCTTCTTAATGTGAAGAAAAAATTATTAAAAGCAAACAGTCCAAAATATCTTTTCGATTACTATACTGACCAGGGTGGGAACAAGATAATCCTCTCTTTTGGAGTTAAATCCCAGAGCCAAGGCCATTAGTGTGGTATTGAAAGGAACTGGGGGTGGGGTGGGAGAGGAGCATTTATTTGACTCAGTTTTAGACTGTTCTGTGGATGTTGGAATTCCTTTTTTTTAAGTTTATTTATTTATTTTGAAAGAGAGTGAGCACGAGCAGATGAGGGACAGAGAGAGAGAGAGAGAGAGAGAGAAAATCTGCGCTGTCAGCACAGAGCCCAACACTGGCTAGCTCTCATGAACCGTGAGATCATGACCTTAGCCAAAGTCAAGAGTCGAATGCTTAACTGACTGAGCCACCCAGGGGCCCCTGGGTGTTGGAATTCTTGCTTTAAATCAATTAAGTGGTTTTAAAATAGATCCTAAGGTATAAAAAGACTCAGTAAATTACTAAACATTATCTGCTGACCAAGGTGTGACATGATCTCTTGAGAAAACTCCTATTTTCCACAAATTTTCAAATGAAATGAGAATTTGGCATAGAGATCAAATTCAAGATCCCAAAGTTATTGACTATAAAAAAAGATTCAAACTCTGGCACACATACAGATTAGAGGTCTCTAAGAGGGGTATGTGTGCCCCCAGTGGCACACGACACAATCCCCTGGGGTATAAGAAGAAAATATTAGACCTTCTTCATATTTATTTTTAGTTTTTCTTGTCTTTTACAATTTCTCAATAAATGTTCTCTACTGTATATTAAGGTAGAGTCTATGTACACTATTTTGAATAAACATATATTTTGGAGCACATATGCAGTATACATATTTATAATATTATACATATTTATAATATTATAATATATAATATCATATATATAGGCATGTATGATCAAATAATTTTATTTAAAAGAGAAGTCATTGAAAACAGTTTGAGGTTGGTATTTTTACACTGGGCTTCTGCGAATCCCATAAAATTGCTTACAAAGATTTTTACTGGAAAGAGTGGAACCCCAGCGTTCATTAGGCACAAAGAGTCACTCAAATGGTTAAGCACTACTATTTGGGAACAATTTGAAGACATTTAAGAAAGATCAGAAATCACAAAAATCAGATGGTCTAGGACAGGTATTTCCTAACCTATGAAATGTCTGAAGACAGACGTGAATCTGTATCTGTGCAGAGTCTGGCTCATGTTGTATAAATTATTCTTCAACTTACATGAAAAAAAACTTAATTTTGGAGCCTTTGACAAAACCATAAATGTGGTATGTATAGAATATTTTTAAAAAATATATAATTTGTAAGTAATATATGGCCAAAAGAAACAGCAGCTAGGCAATATGGTTTACAACTCTACATAGGTAAAACAGCCAAGGCATTTTTTTTTTTTTTAACCAAAACATCACAAAGAGTTGGATAAATTAATATGATAAATGAGATTTATATCAGTTTTTAAACATACCACCTCCTTTTTTTATGTAAGTGATAAATTGAGCCTTTTAATCAAATGGAATAATACGTTTCTGCCTTCTGGAATGAATTTTATTCTGGAGATGATTCATAGAAGGACTATTAGCTACCATGCAATTACAAGCAACACTATAGCAACAAGATTATTATGTCAACACAGTGTATTCTGAAAACTTAAGAGCAGGAAAAACAGTTTGAAAAATATATTCAGCATTTCTTAGCACTTTTTTATATTTTAATTGGCCAAACAGAAAGTGGTCTTGGTTTGAAGTTTTTGGTTGACATTTCAAGTTTATCAGACATGTTATGCTTATAACTTCTAAAGGAATTAATGAATTTGGACCAAATCTAGTCACTATAGAAATAATTAAGAGAGAACTCAAGTATCATGTCTTGAAACAAAATACCTGTAGTCTTGAAGCAATACATCAGTGAATATATTTACCCATGTGGTCATACATGCCCAAGTTTTTAAGGTCTTTCCATTAAGTTTGGTTTGTGGTTAAAGATTATTGAGATAAATAATTCCATAAACTTTTTTTTTTAGTATATAAATAATCTTTACTTGAAGTGGGCATCTGTCTCACAATATACACACTATGCCACTCAGTCACTTATTCCACATCTGGTTAAAATGCAGCATTTGTTATCTTAACCCCATGAAGGTCACAGAGCCACTAATTTGTAGTAAATATTTAAACTGTTGCATGACAATAACAGCACACTGGGTAGGAAGGTTGAAAATTAAAGCTAGGCTGAGCACTCAGAATCTGCTGGTATAATCATCTGATCAAGTTATCTAAACAATTAGAATGTGTGTATGTAAACTTACACTGTAAGAGAAACACAACTTGGTGGGGGAAAAAAGCTTGCAAAGATTTCGGATAAGAATAAGAATTCAGGGGATGGAATTTGGGGGCAGGAGTAGCTTAATTGAGCACAGAGTAATATATACAGGAAGCTCAAAGTCAAGGCCATGACTACTTGAATGAACATTGTAACTCAACTTCACTCTCTAAAAGGAACATTACAAATCTCTACTGCCTGGCAACCTCAAAGGCCAGGAGTGAAAGGAAATAAAACAGCTGCATTCAAGAAAATTCAATGCCATTCCTTCTTGCTAATAATTGTTTTGAGAATTTATATGGCAGAAGTTTATATGCAGACCTTAATGTTTTCTTTGCTTAGCAGAGGGACAGAAGAAGAGAATAGATATGGTATGTGGTACAGTAACAATCTCATGACAGCTCAAGGCCAACTTTGAAAACAAATTTAAGTGGGGCTCAGGATTTGTTAACATTTCTCCATCTTATGCCCAATAGTCAAACACTTTAACAAATGCTCATCTTTGGAATTTGGAAGACAATTGAAATCATTAAAGCAACCTCCTCATTTCTTAATATGAGGACACTGAGGCCCATAGAGGTTGAATGACTTGTCTAAGGTTAAAGGAGAAACTGGTTGTAGAGCCAGTGAGAAAAATGGTCTCCTAATTATAGATATCACTGAATATATATACATATATATAATATATATATATATATATTATTATTTTTTTTTTTAATCAAGAGACTGAAATCAACCATTCAGTTGAGTAAATCATCAAAAGCATCTGAAAACTGTCCTAGTCAGGTGTCTCCTTCGTTTAATAGTAGAACTTATCCTGGCAAACAAAAGACACCTTTAACTTCTGCTTTCTTTTCCAAAATGCTTGCATCCCAGGGAACAATTCAACTGGTGAGCCCATGTCTAGTTGTATGTATACAACTACTCAGACGGAAACCGCATTCTGATTCTAAGGCAGGGAATTAGATATAAGAAGTCTGGGGTGCCTGGTGGCTCAGTGGGTTAAGTGTTTGAATTCAGCTCAGGTAATGATCTCACGCTTCATGGGTTCAAGCCCCACATCGGACTCTGTGCTGACAACTCAGAGCCTGGAGCCTGCTTCATATTCTGTGTCTCCTTCCCTCTCTCTCTCTCCTTCCCCAATTCATGCTCTGTCTCTTTCTCTCTCTTCACACTCTCAAAAATGAATAAACATTAAAAAAAAAAAAAAAAGAAGACGGAGAAGTCCAGTCATAAATCCATAGTTTTGTATGCAAAAAATCATTCCAGAATTTCAGCTTAAGTATTTGGGACAACACATGGTTTAAGAAAATGATGTTTTTCTTTTTTCTTTTTTTATTTTGTATGACTCGCCACCTAATGAAATTCGTTGTAATAAAACCACCTTTACTGGATCTAGTTTAAATGCCTCAGGAAAGCTTTGTAATGAGGTGGTATTCTGATGTGTTTGAAGTCTGAAGGGAAATGAGCTGTGGTAACACAGGAAGTTCTTAGCATGAACGGACTTCTCATGAACTAAGTGAACTTTTTACTGATTAGGTCATGGGATTGGTGAAAAGTTACTCTGGTCGTCATCCTTGTAAAATAGAATCCGTAGACTTCTTAATACAGGTGAACAGAACCTACTACTACTACAAGCCAGTTATCTCTCCCAAGGACAGGGGTTTGCAATACGAATTTTACACTCCGCTTGGAGAGGAAGAAAGGGTCTCTGCCTTGAAAGAGTGGAATATCCTGTCCTCCTTTGCAGTCAACATCCTTAGAACAGACATAAGTTTATAAGTTATCCTGTAGAGGCTAGATGAAGCCTTATTTGTATCAGTCTGAGTCCAGGTTCTTAATAAAATCCTCCAACTGTTATGTGCAGCCATGTTGATAAAGAAGGCAAAGCAATAACTAGGTAACCAGAGGCAGAGAAGAACAAAATATAGAAGTTGCTGCCGACTCTAAATAAAGTCTTACGGCCACTGTGTAAAATCTTCAGTAATAAGGAGAGTTGAAAAATAGGAAACAAATATAAAAGTCCGTCTCTCAGTCTCTTTGGTGAACTGGCATAAACGCAAACAAATTGCAAATGAAAATGATTTTACAAATACAATTATTTTCCCCAATTGTTTTTATCACAAGATTTCCAGAGAATTATGACATTGAGGGACAGGAAGTTTTATCTTCTTCCAGCAAATTCAGCTGTATACAATAACATGAGTAACAAGGAAGAAACACTGCTGGGACTTTTTTGATCCAATATTAGTAAGAAATTTACTATTTGTTAAAATATTAAAATCATTATGCTTCAGGTAAACCTGTCTGCCTTTGGTACTATTTATTAAGATGCTTTCAATCTCTGTGATACATTGAAGTTTCAGATGTAATTTTTCATAACCTGGTGATACTCTAAGGTATCAAATATTTTTGTATTAAAAGCAATCTTAAACATTTTCAAGGGTGGCTCTCTTAGCGGATGTTTCAACTTGCCTACTCCCAAGAATGAAACGTGCTTTCTTTTCTAATCACATGGAATCATAAATTGTTAGTCACTTCATACAAACTACTATTACGTGACTCCTTTCGAGACCTCAGACCGTTCATGACTGCTCCGCCAAGGTCAGAGTTTATTTGGGTCGCTGTTTATAGCAAATAACTCAGTTGATGAGAGACTCTGAAATATCAAGTGGTCTTGCTGGTGTTAGTGAAACTATCTACCCCAGGAGCCTCATTTCAGCGGATAACCAGCATGGTCGCGGTGAGCACTGCCAACTTTAACGATCGGAGAATAAAGTCCAACTACAAAGCCCATGCGGCACTGAGCTTTAAAAAATTACGAAGCTCGCCTGAGAAGACGTTGAGGGCATTGACCTGCAGGTTGGGCCTTGGCGTTTGCTGTGGTTGTGCTAATGAATTCAATGTCACTAAGAAGCAGAAAGAAAAAAACAACAACAACAACGAGTGATGATGGGAAGCAAGTCAGAAAATAGGATAATTTTTGGACCAAAGTATAAAATCATCCAAGGGCAAACAGTACTCATGGTGTAGCAGAGAGTGCAGGGAAAGATGTCAGCCGATTTAAATGCTACAATCGTGGTGTCAGTTATATGTCAGGAATAGCTCTCTTTTATTCTGGAGAATGACTCCAGGACTGTTTCTGCATTAGAAATTAGTGAAGGATTCTGACAAGGAGTTGTTTAACTGATTAGCATGAAATAATATATATATATCGTCAGCATGCATATTTCTATTTAAAAAGTATCTAATGACTAGAACTTATGCAAATTTACGCTACGTGAAGTAGAAGTCATAGGTAAGTGGAACTTAATCGAAAAGACACCAAAAAACAAAAACAAAAAAACCTGGCACATTCCTGTTTGCTACTGACCCTCTTCAGTTGTTGTTGTAATTGTTCCCTCATGGACTCAGGACAATTGTCCAGCTGGGTCTTCTGCTCGGAGTAAAGCTCCTGAAGCCTCTCTAGTTTTTCCCTTTCAGCATCAAGCTTTACCTTCTCCTGAAGTTCAGAAATCAGAAAATAGAAGAACAGAAATTACCTTCATACCCGAGGCAGGCGTTAGTGAATATTTCCCAAGGGTAACACAAACACACATACGCACAAATGAGATACCCTATGAATATTGAAACGTACCTTGCTAGTGACTAAGATAAAGGGGTATAAGTGGAAGTAAAGACAAGGGGGTCCCATTTCTGCATTCTCAAAACATGGCCCACTTTACTGAGTGTAGACAATGACCCCCGCCTTTCCTTCCATTCCTCCTTCCTTCCACCACGTTACAGAGCGAAGGAAGCAACGGCGATGTTGGTCAACGGTCAACCAAGAACAAAAGAAATGCCAACCAAATTTATAAGACAGCCTTGCAGAGAGTCCCTTGGCAGCGAACCAGACAAAGGAAACCAGGCATTTACCTCAAGTACTGTCGTGCTCCAATTTACTCAAGGCATTTGTTAAGCAAGCTTTGGAAATTATTGTAACTTTGTTCTCAGGTCGGAAGTCTGCCAGATGCACTAGCTGTCTCCCCGGTCATCTGAAATAGGTCTAGCTGTTTAGCAAACTTCAAAGCTTAAGCAAGTAGAAAATCTGATTCTAAGAGGAGCACTGAATTCAAAGGCTGAGAGAGCAAGGGAGAAGTCAAGCCTGACAAAACAGCAAGGGAAGGCGTATTGTGCAGTTCAGATACACCAACAACGTGTGACGTTTACTGTGGAGATGAAGACTTCTCTACACTGACTGACATAAGAAATACTTGAAACATGGATTATGGGGAAAAGGAAAGGAGAACACCGGGAGTCAGAAAACAGAAGAGAAAGGAGGAGACAACACTCAGTCCTTCCCAGTCACACACTCCAAGGTGACTCTGGATGCAGGTCTACCAGACAAATCCTGTAATTCAGTGACTACCCAGCTTGATGTGTCACCTATTGAGTTGAGAAACAATACTTCAACCTGTGTAGTTCTTGTCTTCCCAAGTCCTGTTCTCTTCATGAGGCTCTGAAGCCTTGAAGGCTAAATTTTACCTGATGTAACTCTCTCAGCCTACACAGCCTACTTCATGAAGCACTACCGTGGCTTGACCCTCAGTACACACAGTGACCACCACCTGACTCTCCTTAGTTCATTCTATGCGCACTGGTGGCGGTGACACCGCCTTCTAAGCATTATCAGAGAAGGATTTGTTTAAAAGATGAAGCTCCTGCAGTAGTCCTATAAAATTATACTCACTATAATGTCTTCATCCAAATGGCCACGATTTCCTGGGTAAACATATATTTAAATTCTTTACAAAAGAGGTTACGGTTTAAATCTAAAACTGTACGACACAAAAACCCATACCAGTTCCCGGAGGTCTCCATTTTTGGCAGAAAACTTGAAAATGTCAAGGGCATTTTAGAAATGTATATTCAGGGGTGCCTGGGTGGCTCGGGCTTAGGTTAAGCGTCTGACTCTTGACTTTGGCTCAGGACACGATCTCACGGTTTGCGAGTTCGAGCCCCTCATCGGGCTCTGTGTGGACAGTGTGGAGCCTGCTTGGGATTCTGTCTCCCTCTCTCTGCCCTTCCCTTGCCTGCTTTCTATCTCTCTCTCAAAATAAAAAAATAAAATAAAATAAATAAACAAAAAAAGAAATGTATATTTAGATTTAGAAGTACATTCTTTTTTCTCTCAAAATGATTAAATCCAGAAGTCATAAAACTGAGAATCCTATTTCCTATATCAATCTAAAAATGCTTCTGCAACTTCCAGAGACTATCCAGAAAGTTCTTCAGTCTTTAATGGCAACTGTGTCCACCGTGCACATGGACAGTGCAGAAGTTGGAGAGAGAATGGCATGGTTCACAGAATGAAGGATTATCATGTGTTCATTCACAGTAAAGTTCAAAACACTAGGGCCACTTAGATTCTTTCTTTAGTTTCAGAATGAATCATTTTTTTCCCCTTTAATACAACCAGGAATACAAAACACCTGTTGACTTTTGGATAAGAAAATGTATTATTTCTTCCGTGTATGGATCAAAGATTGCCCTATTTACACAGCAAAAGAATTTGATCCAATGGGGCGCCTGAGTGGCTCAGTCGATTGAGCCTCCGACTTCAGCTCGGGTCATGATCTCACAGCTCCTGAGTTCGAGCCCGGCATCGGGCTCTGTGCTGATGGCTCGCAGCCTGGAGCCTGCTTCGGATTCTGTGTCTCCCTCTCTCTCTGCCCCTAACCCGCTCAGTCTGTCTCTGTCTCTCTCAAAAATACATAAACATTAAAAAA